GTTGCTTCATCCTCTCAGAGGATCAGTCATTACGACTCAGGTGTAGATCTCCTACGAGTGCTACCAAGTGCTGCGGAGCTGCCGTATCTCTTTGCTTATCGAAAGCTAAGGCCACCGACTTTACATTCTATACTTAGAACCAGTACGACTGCAGTCCGCTAACTCCAAGAATAACTACAATCTACAATTAAAGATTTTCTGTTCAAAATGTAAAACTTTGGTCACGGAAAAACCACCTATAACTAATTCTATAGGATTTTATAGTCAGGTAGTGAAACCGAATTAAAGTGCATGACTTCTGGCAGTCCATTCGTGTACTGACTTCTTGTTAAGATGAAGCCACACCATTGTGTGATAACACCGTCTTGTGTATCCTATGATCACGCCATCTTGTGTGACCCATTCCTTCATTTCAGAGTACGTCTGATCCCGTTACATAGGCACCACTTAATGATAAATGTTCATTGTGTTATAAATGAGCTACAGAAAGCCGTGGGATAAGGCATAGCGGTGCAGCTTTGCAACTGCGCGCTATGATGAAGGTGCACCAGAGCTTTCAAACGCTTTGCTTGATAAAATTTTACCAAAATATAAGACATGTTACGCCTGGCCCGTGCTTTGTCACGTCAATGAACGTCGTCACCATCGTAAAATACGACAATTTGTTTTGGGGCGACGCAAAACCACATTACGCCGACCCGGCTTATGCCTGACTTGAAACAAATGCGCTACAAAACAGTATGGCCAATTGTAGTTTGTACAAGATCCAGGAGCTTGCACTACACCCAGTCTGCTTTTCTGAAAGCGGTAAAAACATTTTGCAATATCACACGAGGATGTGATAACGGTGTCGCTATACACAACGACAAATGCTTTGTACAGATCACAAATGACCAAGAGCAAAGCAGATGCACCCTGAACCTGACGGGAGCATAAATCATCGCAGATTGCTCCGTTTTATTGGCTGAATTCTAGTTTTAGTAGCTTAAATGTGGCTACTTTCAGACGTCATCTTGCGTTGATGCACATCCACATCGGAGTTAAGTCGACCATATCCCGTGGTAAAGATTGAAGCGTCATAGTCGACAATAAATTGCCCATGTGGATTCGAGTGAGCCAGAATTTGAGCACGAACACGTTAACCCTTCATAGTCTTGAAATCTGCCTCTTCTGCTGCACCCAGCAATATATTATATCTTTTTAATGAAAGGATAAGAGGTTCTGCCATGTCGACAAATTTGAAGCTCACTTGTGCAAGTTATTGGCTAGGTCAAACCACCTTCTCAAGTCCCTCGAAACAGAAGCTTTGGTCAATATACAGTGGCCGTTATCTTTGTGAGATTTATTGGCAAGCGTTGCTCCCAGTGAATTAACCCAGAAAGAGCACCTTGTCGGCGCGAAAAGCACACTTGTATGTACCAACGACTAAATTATTCAAAAGCCTACATTAAAGCTCTGCTCACAAGTTTTCTTTACAATAAATTTCGGTATCTGCACACCTATGTACATACATATCATAGACATAGATTTACCCAGAGCCTCGAATTGACCAAAATAGCTGCAGCACCATACAAATTTTAATGTCGCTTATGCCTTTGAACCATAAATAGCCATCTCGCATGGAAACTAATCGCAGTGAGAGGGATATCTCCGTCCTTACTAGCAGTTGATAACATCTATCAATCAGGTAAGCGCACAAAACAAATGATCATTCAACTGTGCTATTCTTCAGCACATTTGTTTTTAAACAGGTCTTCCGCTGGGACCGTGATTGCATTAGCTTTTATAAGCATACGGAATTTGACACTTATCGATAGCCTTTCAACCACAGAAAATGACACCCGGTGGTGAGACTCACAATCTCCCTTTCGCCAAATTTGCTTTGTGCTTTAATTGAAGAAAGTATCGGTGAAGTCGCACTGCTCTTTTGTTAGGGACAACTGCCGTGTGATGCAATGTTTGGTCCCAGGGACCAAGTCAATTTCACGACGTACTCCCTTTACCAGAAGTGACACATGGCAGGTCTCATGCTACCACGTCGTGATTTTTCTTTAAATAGACGCTTAAACGGTTTAGAAAACGCCTGCACTCAGTACTCTGCGAGTGTCCACAACAGCAAATTCATCCATAACGGAATACGAACTCATCTTCTCCACTGGTACTAACCGTACAATATCGGTGACATCACAGCCATACAAAGTCATGTATAAACCTTACTAGATCAATTCGCCAGCTCTGTAAGAGTTCTTGCGGCGGTAATCAGAAGAGAATTTCAATATCAGAGGACGCTGTGTCATAAGAGCCCTCAAATTCAGCACTCAAGCTTTGTGCGACAAGGAAAATCTACGACGTGAAAGGAGCAGGACTGTACATACTTCGGAAAAAAGAACGACTTAAGAGCTGATAGGAATATTCGCAACTGAATTAAAATGAGTGATGACTTCTAGATCTACATGCAAAGTATCCCAAGGGTTCTATGGAGTTTTGCAAATATATACTTGTGTTCCAGATTTATACGATTAAAAGTGCACTGGGGTTTAGCCTAATACAAGATCTTATGTGTACGGAGCTCGAGCTTAGAAAAGCTTGAGCTTAAAACTTCGTGTAAAACATCCAGTAGAAGTGAATGGCTTATGCCGCCCACTTTAGAAGACAGAGACACATTGGTCTCGTCACCAGTACAAATTCCTATGTTTCGCACGGAATGCTTGGATCCACGTATGGGATGTCACATGTGCAAGTGAGAACATTATTCTGTGACTCTATTTCTAAAGATCCCCTCAATGCATACAGAAGGTGCATTGAAGTATCTTTTTATAATAAAAAGTCCCCTTTGAAGAGTGTTCTTTGCCCAATCGGCAGCGAAAAGATCTAGATCTCTTTGACATTACCCTCATTCTCAGCCGAGATAAAGACAAGAAGCTCTACTTTAAACATTTCTTTCGTTGGCACTGGATCAACAATTGCGATGATTTGACACAGTCCTTTGTAGCTAAGCTGGATTCTTAACGGACGTTTGTCTGCTCAAAAACCAAAAAGGAGATGAAGCTTCTGCTACACCAAATCGGCGCTGATGGGATATCTAATCACGACCAAGAAACCAAACCCTGGTCGTTGAAGGGTTGACTTTCTACTACAACCGACTTTTGTGATGTAGAGCACATCAGAAACATCAGACTTACGGTCCTGACAAGATATCTACGTTGTCCGAGTTCGATAGCTGGCCGCGTCACCAAACTCTGTAAAAGCAATGATAGTTCAAATGCTTTCACCACGATGCGAATTAATCGATATCAAATATCGGCAATCGCCTCAACCACCAAACGAAGCTTTCCGCGAACTTTAATAGCGGAGGCGGGGTTTAACGTGAAAACGATTATGTGACTCTGTAAGTGGGAGAGCGCTCATCGCGGACAATTTGAGACATTGCAACAGCGTTGTGAGACGCTTAAAAATCGTTGCGAAAGCTCTTCGAGCCTTGCTGTATAGAAGAGCCACCACGCGTTGTTCTGACAGATGGTTCCGTCCAATGCTTGGCTTTTGTGCCCGTTTAAAATAATGGTTGAAGCAGGGTAGTAATAAACTTGCTTGACTTTGGACGACAAGGTAGACTCGCGAGCTGGCTCACAAATACCTATTACTCGCTGTTGAAGTGCCAGGATCGGCTCTCGAGGTACTCCGCTGTGAATACCATTCTCGCCTTCAAGCGTTGAAATCAGTAACGGAGCTATACTTCAATGTCCTACAGCGCTTGTGCGTCGAAAAATGTTCCAGGATGAGGCGTTAGTTGCTCTTCGCGGTCAAGTAGAGAAAATTCATGATCAGCTTCTTTTCCGTCTTCCGCTTTTATCTGTTTTTTTCAGATCCTGATCTTTAGAAATTGCGTCTCGAACAAACGGCACAACGGCTATTATAGGCCATTTACGATTTGGTTTGCGCACACGAAACGTCAACGCGCTGTGAGGGAACTAATCCTCTCTCACCAAACCAGCATCTCGCTTTTGACCAACACCTTCATCGATATACTCACTCTGCTCACGCGACAGCGGCCACTGTCAAAGCACTGCATGCTTCAAAACAAGTTCACGATCAAATATGTCGACCTCCACGTTCGGGTGAGAGAAAAGTCGAAGTTGGCGGCTTCGCACTAAGGACATCATCCTTGTATTTCATGTGAATAATAAGCATTAGATGCATCTCTCGCGATAGCAGATGATGAAAGGGCTGGCGAAGCTTGAGGAAATCATTTACGATGACTTCCTAAAGTGCTAAAATTGTGCAGGTCGTTTTGCTGCAGTCGAAGGTCAAATTAGCGGGACTGCGCTCATCATCAGTTATATATGATTCGCTACTCGAATAATTTAGACAGCGTGTGGAGTCACGTAGAGACCGCGCAGTATATCTCTTCCACCGTACGTCCGGCTGTACACAATTAAGTGTACTTTAATTAGTCGGTGGATATTATAAATCTTGATGAGGGAGGAGGACGTCCATTTTTCATACGGTTGTTAGTAAACCGTTTAGTATGTTATGGGAGTAGCTTGTAATGCCAAAAGAGCTATCCAATGCCCCAGCAACGTTCAATTAGAGGGTTTCCCATCTGTTCGACCTCTGCAAAGCTCAAGCAAACATATTTTGACAATATTTTTGCTCGATGGAACGACGAAAATAGCAGATTTGCTGAAGACATTCGCTTGACGCACCGTCAAGCGGTGCTAGAATATATGCGTAAACATTACAAGCGATTGCAAGCGTATCTTGCAAAGTATATTTTCGATGCTTACAAAGTATCGGTCCTCGGTTGCTATGTTGGTGAATACAGTGCTCGTGCAGACCTTGAGAACGTCAAAACAATCGTGGAGCGGCCAGCGCCACGAGCTGATTAGGGGTAGAAGATACTTCGCTGTAAGCTCAAGCTAATAGATCGTATCCTCAAAAACTCAAACATGATGACGATGGCATACCTGGTTGAAGTCACTTTGATGGCTAAGGCGACTTGACTAGAAATGACTTAAGTTTCTTATTTTTGGATCTGAGAGCGTGGCCATGACAACATATCCGAGCTCGGATTCCCTCCACTTTTCGAAAGCAAAACAATTAACAGCAAAAGCATCCCACAATGCATAGTTCATAGCAGTAGTCGCATCAGTCGGAGGAGAGGATGTACTCTTACTCGATGAAGTAGACGAAAGAAAGCCAGCGTGTTCGAAAAGAACGCGGTTCTCCGTACTTTCAAAATTCGCGTCAAAACGCTCTGATCGATCTTCTATTTTCATCAATCTTTTGGCATTAAAATTGAGCGTTTTGAATGCTTGTTCAAGTGAAAGTTGACGAAGGTCATGCCCGTTTGCTGCCACCTCCAATGTTTTTCTTAAGCCATCAAGCTTATTTTTAAGTTCGAGGATCTCCATCTTGTATCTAAGTATAGCCTTCAGACGTGTCTTATCAGCCTTAAATCTTGATTTGAGGGCACTAAGTCGTTACTGAACAAGAACATCTCGGCTAAGAGTTGAGTATTTAAATATATCTTGTGCGATTATGGCGTTATGATGACGTAAACGTTTTGATTGAAGATCCAAGAGCTCGACTTTGTACAACAACCTCAGAATCTTCTTGTCGTGACTGAGCTGTTTGAGAAAAGAGATTGGTCTATCCAATTATCTGCATCGCTTCTCGTGTGACTACGCAGATAAGATATGTCCACTATTAAACTTGCTAAAGTAGGATGTAATATGGGAGTGGTCATCAACTTGTGAAGAGGCGTTTGCTAAAATTAAGATCAGGTTGATGGAAGCACCATTTTTTTGCTATACCAGGTGATTAGAAGCCATAAATTGTGGTGTGTGACGCTTTTGAGTTCGCAATCCGTTGTGCACTGTTGCAAACGGGCTCTGAAGGACACGATCGTGTCGTGTCGTTTCAATAGCAACAATTGAGGCCAGCAGAAGAGAAATACCCAGTCCATGATAGGGAACTTCCGGTAATATAGTATTCTTTGTGTTCACCTCTTGGGTTTGACTCCGTTTGTCATCCAAAAATCACATTTGCGATATACCGATCAGTCTCCTAGCTTACCAAAGCAGATGGCTCGCTGATTATCATTTCTCGCAAATTATAACTTCATGGTCACGAACAAGCCTGGAAAGCTGAACGTGCTGGTTGACGCATTATCACGTCGTTCTGATTATCAGCTAGCCCATAATAGCTATATCGAAACGATGCATTTGGTATGTACATCGAGCGAATGTGTTGAGGATGAGCAGTATGATCTGATCAACAAGACACTCTCACTGAGTGTTATTTAACCCATGGAAAGCTCCCTGGCTGCTTGAAATCACAGATGCATCTTTATGCATTGAAGAATAATCCCCTTCTCTATGAAAATGTGATTTCCCACAACGATGATTTGAAGCACACCATCGTGTACGAGGCGCATGATACGCCGATGGCTGGTCACTTTGGCCGTGAGAAGACGTACCAGTCTCTCAGTGCTCAATTTTGGTGGTCCCGCATGGACAAGTGGGCTGCACGATACATAGTGACATGCGAAGTCTGTTAGCGCGTGAAGAGCGCGAGGCAAACGCAAGTGTCACTGCAGTGTCTCCTTGGCCCTTCTGACTGTTGGGAGTCAGTCGCTCTCGACTTTATCTTCCCCAAAATTGCTGATGGTCACAATGGAGAGCTCGTCTTTGTCGACAGAATCAGCGATATGGTTTGTATCGCTAAGTAACGATTCAATTGAAGCCAAAGATTTGCTAGATTGTTCATTGATCACATTATCGCAATCACGGGTTGCCAGATGCCAATGTCTCTGATCGTGAAACACCACGATTCATGAGTAGTTTAGAGAGAGAATTGTTTTAGATTCTTGGCACTCGCCTGGATATGTCCACAGCAGTAAACCCAAAGACCGATAAGCAGACAGCCGAGTGGTCGGTGATGTGACAGGCTTCATTGCAAAAGCTCCGGCAGCATGAAGTTCTTTGTTACAATTAATAGAGTTTGCTATGAATAATCCAGTTCCTTCATCTGCTGTGGTCTCAAGCTTTAAAAGCGCAAAACTATTACCTCGCTTCACCAGTACATTTCGAGTATGGAAGTGCTTACATCATTGACCTGCCAAGCTGGCTAAGAACATATCCAGCGTTCTACGTAGAGCTACTCAAACCCTATCATCGCGACGACGCTAATTCCAACCGCAGAGCTATACGAATTTGGCCTCAGAGCCACAGCTTCGGCATGAGGGTAAAAAAAAGTCTAACCCCTTGGCGTCATCGCCTCAGCATCATTCATAAACCCATAAAATGACGAGGATTATCGTAAACTTTGGAGCCAAACAAATGATTTTGAAAGCCGGAACGTGGACAAAAGCAGATGGCTGCTGATCGAGTTGACAATCACTACGGGAAGCATATCCACCCGAACAAGAGCGAGGTCGCTTGGCAGGAAGCTTTGCATTATGATCGTCAGCAGCCGCAGCCCGAGGGAGAACTTGCAGAACCTGCTCCAATCGCCGAATCCGATTCTTTATTGCATCCTTAGGCGACTTGCATGACGCCATGCGAGATCGCAAACTCCGCAAACGACCTGTCGAGTATTCTTCACGCGTTGCCGTGCCCTCAACACACCGCGATCATCTGCCGGTCCACCAGCAAAAGAAGGCTCCTTCACTACCGTCTTTATTTTAGACGGAGACTGTGGATCGGTTACAAAAGAAGCAGAAGGAACGCCCGCCCGAGGCTACTCCCCTATCTCATCAGGGATATCAATACTACCACGTCGAGAACGTGGTGGCGGAGCGGAACGTCCGCGGTTGGAAAGAGCTGTTGGTGAAATGGCTGGGTTCTCCAGCGAACGAAAATACGTGAGAGCATCGTAGTCGTATTCTTCGCGATTATCTCAATATCGTCCTTGCGTTCGATCCGGGTCCAAAAACGGACCCCGCTTATGAGAGCCGTCCCTTGCTTTTCTCACTCTCTCTCTTGTCGTGGATTCGACCAATAGCCGCACGTACTTTGCGATCATCTTTGATATCAGAGCAAACACGATTCTGCGGCGTGAAACGGGCAAATGGAAAGCGCATATCGCATATCCTTAACAAGTTTGCAGCAGTATTCGTATTTTGCAAACGGTGGACATCCACGAATTTCGTTGCACGAAAATATGCCCAGAAACGAGCGTCGATTATCGGGACGAGATACAGATGAAATTGCTCAATGTACAGTACTACTCCCGCACATGTAATCGGACCGACAGCTTGGAATTACGCGATTCGAGTCATCACTCGAGGTTTCATTCAACTGAAAGTTCGTCAAACTTTAAGGTTTTAGCTCACGTGCAAAAGTACTGTTCGACGTGACTTTGGAGCTTATCAAAGTTTGATGGTGGCGAAGGCGCCTTTGCATCATAGTCGGTGCAAGTCTTCGATGTGTACATTTCGTTTGGGACCAGGAACAATCAAGACTCAGATTCGCAAAAAATGTGAAGAGAATATGGGTAACCCGGTTTTGAGAGGGAGTATACTGGGATTAGTCCCATTACACATGCTGCGTGAACCACGACCTTCTGTGTGTGGTTAATATTAAGTATATATCCCGCATAGTCGTTTACCCCTCAATTCTGTTATATCCGAAAGAAAGACACTTATCAGTATTGCAATAATAAATATCACTTCAACTTTATCTTCTCGTTTAGGTAAATCAACAGCTCGCTGGAAGTGAATAATAACACGCGGCGGTGGAGCGTGCTAAACGATTTAAGTCACCTTCAGTAAGTGCGTGAATACGGACGGGCAATTTCCGTTACATATGCTGACCACTTACAAACACATGGTCAGACAGAACCTGTAATGTCGCTGTAGTGGATAAACTTTTCAGCACGTGCGTGGGATGATGTAGGTGCTGGAACGAATTGTGCCTGCGCATTGACTTTTGCATCAAATAGCACGATTCGTACCACTACAAGCGTTAAACCGCTTTGCATAAATGGCTTGTGAAGCCCTGGTTGCCTTTCTCACGACTCATATCAATCCAAGCTGTACCCCTCTATGTATATATGGTTTGGTGATCCCTTCGGTCGCCTTTAGCACTGCCAGAAAGTAGCTTCATTTTTAGTGGAAATGATGCCGTAGATCAAGTTTGACTTGTTGATACCAGCCCGGCTACAGTTTCAAGCAGAATCAACGAATTTGTCTCAATAATTTTTAGAGTCATGCACAGAATGTGCGACTCTTCGGCTTGGAGCCAAAACGTGCAGAAGCAACACGCCGATGTCAAAGGCAGGCGACACACAGAAATATGTTGTGGGACAACAGGTGTTATTCAAAGCTTGAACTTTACCTACACATCTGGTGTCTGTCAATTAAGACGAATCCGCGATTGAGCTACATTGGACCGCTCACAACGTAGCGAAAATGGAATCAAGTTATACTTCTAACATCCTAGATAGGACACAAATATATTATGTGTTTGAAACAGTCCTACTGAGGACTTACTATGGTTCAGCATTGACGATCCGTGCAGATTTGAAGAGCTTTGTTGACAACGGAGCTTTTCCACCGTTCCTTGTGGCTGAACTGCCCTTTGATTTAGAGTGGCGATATGGTTTTGAGCTGCTAGGGGTGCCTCAAGCATCGCAGTGCGATGGCGTGGCTCAGGGATAGTATTTGAGTTTTACTCAATTCCGGCCTCGGAAGCACACCGAAACACGGAAAGTGTACGCACCACCACGTCTAAGAGAGCTCACGAAACTGGATGAGAGAGAATGGATATCGGGGTTCTGCCTGATTAGCAAGACGTGAAACGTTTGCTGGGCCGGAGGGTACAACAGAGCTGTTGCTGGTGCCTACTGAAATAAAATTGTTATCTGAAGTCTGTAATTTTGAACAAATTTGAAATTCAACTGCGGCAAGATTTGCCTGGCGCCGCGGCTGCTTGCAATTTGGCACACCTTTTAAAATTGTCTGATTTTAGAGATACGCAGGGTCGCTCATCGCAGCGCGCTTCATAATAGTAAAAGGCGGCCAACCTTTTGATGAATAAAACCCTTGGTCGTAGCTTTTACATGTCTTACTTAGACGAGCAGGGCTGTAAACGACCTGAACAAAAGATGATGAGTATTCATCCCAACGTCCGCGTCGTACTTTGTAATTTGCAAAGGCAAGCGTGAGACCGCAATTTAGGCGGTCGTTGCTTCGCTGAAGCAGTCGTGAAAGGCCGGAAAGGTGTGTGATAGTGTGATTATCTTACCCTGTGCGCAAATTGAGCCATACGATTAGTAGGGCTTTCGCCAGCATCTTGTACCCAAGGTACATTCTACATGGATTGTACAAGCTTCTTGAGTTACTACCACTCCGAGGGCAGGCGGCACTTCTGCGAAGTGATGACCTGTGAATTGTCAAAGAGCTCGCCAG